GGCATTCCAGCAGCTCTTGTTCCCGGACAAAAGGAGCTTTCACTTAAACTGAGAGGTATTGAGTAACCAGCCCCTGCACAACACAACAAACCAAACACAACTGTCTCAGCAAGGCTCTATTAAAGCATGGGAAATTTGCCATGGCCCCATGATTTTTCATTTTAATTGGAATAAGAAAGATTTCATCAACAATTACAGAGCACAGCAGCAAGAAATCTATGTTTATCTTCACCAGCAGTTATTGTGCACGATAGACAAAGAGCTAAGGTAGGAACAAAACGCTTTTTCAGTGTAAACAGGTACCTAATCTGCAGAAGAAGATAAAACATTGAACAAAGAACCTTCAGATACAAAATATACTGAAGAGGAAAATCATGTCTTTTCCACAGCCCTAATATGGCTACAGCCAGTCTTCCTTACCTCTTACAAATTCCTCTGCTAGTGCTGCAGCAACTTCTCTCTGCTTCTTGGCATATTTGAACAAGGGTTTTCAAAGAGTCATTCTTTGACCTTCCCAGGTGCTGCTCATTTAGTTTCATTTTATAGGCACTAAGTCCAGTAGGGGTCAATGAGGACCACAAGCATTAAACAACAGAATGCAGCTTAGGAAGACTTGTTATGGAGCTGGAATTTTCACTATGTGAAACTAAGCATTTAAATATTATGCCTCAAAGGTAGTATAAGAGGCCATAATAATTAATTTTAAAGTTATAATTTTAATTAATACGTATCATAGCCTACCAGCTGTATTTTCCAATGTCTCACAGCCTTTGTGAAAATGACACACTGTTAAGCAGAAGAGCACAAGACTCAGAGCAGGTTAACTTGGTTCAAACGGGTTTTTGCTGCCTGAAACTTCCTAAACTGAAGGTCACTATTCCATCCTCTGAATTCATACTCATCTCAGAGCAGGCAGTGTAAGATTTGGGACCTGGGCATCAGTGTGCAATACAAACCTATGTTTGGAAGAGAGGTGTCCACTTTAGGACACAGGGAGATGCATGTATCTCTAAAGGTAATTTAAAAAATACCTAGCAGATATTCATCTAGAAATGTCTGCAATGATCAAAAGCTAAATTAAATAAAAATGTATGACATTGCCACTGCAATCCAAATGTGAATACTGTAAGCAGTGGTAGAATATTCTAGAAGTAAGCAATGGATACTGGCCAGCTCCTGTGTAGTAACACCATAGGGATCAAATTTTTTCACATTTGAAAGATGCATGTGAAGAAGATATGCTGGCGACCTACAAAATAAACCCTTGGTTGGGTTTAAAAAGGTGAATAGAATTATTTCTTACAATAAGTGTGATGAATTAAATGAAATTAGTAGAGAACAAACTGAAAACAAATATATTAATTCCTTTTTTTAAATGCAGAATTAATTGAACTGAAGACTTTGGACTTAAAAGTTCAAAAGAGATAAGAAAAATAGGTAAGATAAAATCATGGAATATAGGTCCAATGCTGCCTATTAAACAGGACAATCCAAGTGCAGTTTATATGGGAGGAAGAGTTAATTGCTATTTTTTTGTTGTTGTTTCCCATTGTTGGAAATACCACTTTGAGATGTTTCATTAGCTGTACATGAGTTAAAAATAAGAAGTAAAATATATTGATTGAAACCATTACGAAAAGAGCGTCTTTTTATTTTCCTTATGGTTAAGAGCACTGATACCACACAGCTGATGAGCTATTTTGAGTGATGAACTATGCCTATTTTGTCATCCCATACATTTTTTGTTGTAGCACAAGAAAAAATTAGCTGTAATTCTCAAAGCTGAACTTATTGCCTAGACGACATTATTAGTGAAAAACATAATCAAGATTAATTTGATGAAACAAATGGCTTTTGATTAAATAATGTTATGCAGAAACATCAAACAAATTAAACACACTATTTCCTTGAGTTGCATTCCTCTCTAGTCCTGGTAGAGAGTGGATTTGAGTGTGCAATATATAATGTTTAAATTCACTTCTATTAATAATTTCATCAAAAATACACAGAGACTGGTAAATAGTAGGCTAAAGGGTAGGACACTGCAAGTGGCTGTCATGGGTTTGCTAAGCAGGAAATTGCCAGACCTCCCTTCTTTCACATTTCTCCCATGCACAAGGGACAGAGAAGAGGTATCTTTTTCCCATGGAAAAAAAACCCCAGCAAAACAATTTAAATTCTAAACTACCTCCTACACTTTCCTGAGAGTTAAAACCCTAGCTGCATGTTGACCAGCTCTTGGCTCCTCACAGTTACCCACTGTCAACTCTGAAATCTGTAGCACATTAAGAAAGCACAAGTTGAGGACAGCCCAAAGTAAAGTGAATTAAAATTATGACAAATGTTGCAGAGAATATAATTCCCTTTTTATTCAGTGCTTTGGCAGAGTTTCCATTCTGAGATGCCAGAAGAACAGAGAAAAACAAATGGAGGAATCAGGGAGATCGCGTGTTAAAATCAAATCAAGGAGTGCACTTTGATTGAGCCTTTATGATCTTCTCTTCAAAAGGCAACTCTGCAAACAGCATGCAAGTATAAAGTGTAGTTTGAGAAAAAAAACCCCAAACGAATAAAAGTAAGAATATATCACATCAGTCAATCTCTATTTCAGGAAGTGATGCAAGCAAAGTCTGCAGCAAAGTGGGCCTCCCAGAAACACTCTGCCACCCACAGCATTGTGTAACCTTCCTTTGGTGTGAAACACGGCTGGGCTTAGCTCCTGCTAGCAGCAGTTAGCTGCACGCCATGCAACCCTGCTGCAAGTTAGAGAAACAACAAACAACTGCTGTTATTCCCCCCTCTGCAAAAGTGTGTCTGATTAAACTCCTGTTACAAAGCCCCACAAGAGCAGAAAACGAGTCCTGCAGTTTCTGAGGGGAAAACTGCCTGTTCCACATCCCACCAGAGGGAATGGAAAGGCTGGTTTGCTTGAGAGTTGTTCATGTTTTGGATCTTGCCACTTTTTGGAGCTCTTGGCCTTCAACTTTATTGTATGGGATTTTTTCCCATTTCTCTCATTTTCTCTCCCATCAGCTAATTTTCTTTGTTTCTTTCTACTTACAGTTTCCAAAACTGAACAAATAAGGAAAAGACATGGTCAGGTAACAAAACTCAACACCTGACAATAACATTTAGGCAAAACTCATGCAACAATTACAGCTGATAAATGACTATACCACATCACTTTTAATTTGGCTGCCACCATAGTAAGTCTTGCATATAGAATATCCCACTGCAATACCTCAAACCCAATACTTTCTAAGCCTATCTACATGGACTATTTCCTGGCACAGTAACGGCTGCCTTAAAACTATTGACTAAGTGAAGTAGGACTAGAAGAGAGCACATTATTTAACATAATTTATCCCGATCTCAGGATATTTGGTTGGATTTTTTTCTCCCCTATTCCTCTGAGGCCACAACTTCCCACTGCTGCCGCAGCAACGGTTCATCTGCTATTGCTTTCTTGCTGTCTGAGCAGGGCTGGTGGCAGGAAGCCACAACTGCTCCTTGTGTTTATCTCTCCCCATCTTGCAGCCCTGACAGAGTGAGTCTATTTGGATAGCAAGAGGCTGTGGTAACTAAGCAGCCACAAAATTTAAAAAGGGACATTTCCAGCTACTTGCACTCAGAGTAAGTGCAAAGCAAGTCTTTTATAATAGAATATTTTTTAATGTGAATGGAATGAGAAAAACAAATAGCAGGTTTTGTGTGGGTGCTTTACTTACATAATCTTAAACTAAATCTTCCTGCTTAAGAATAAAAAGCTCTCCATCCTAGAGATGATTTTTGCTGACAAACATATTAGCAATAGCATCATATTCCAGTTACAATCTCTATGTATTTCATCTTGAGCCTTTCTGTGAGAAGTTCAGAGTCATGCACAGCCCACGTTCCTTCTTTCTCTAGAATGTAGCTCCCATTTCCTGAGGGAATCAAACAGCCAGACCCACTTAACCCCTTCCTGGAATATTTAACACCCTGCCTCTGGAAGAGCTGTTTCAACCACACAGTTAGAGAAAACATTTGAAGGGGTAGGTCTAAAATAGCTTCAAGCCCAGACCTCAGCTTTGCCAAAGGAGGTAGGGGTCAGATCTAGGACTTTGTTTCAAGGTCAGCCAGTGAGTCAGGAGTAGACTCAGAGCACATACTGGGATCAGCAATGCTCCTGGTCCTGCCTCCTGTGCTTGGACTGCTGTTGTTTTTGTATAGAAAATAATGACTGCAGCATTCGCCAAGAAAGACTAACAGACTAGTGATGAGAATGCTAGCAGTAGTTATTCTTCTAGATGGGTCACTAGAATGAAAGACAAAATTTTTTCATCAGCAGTGCTCCTGAAAAGTAAGATTTGATTCTATAAACATCACCACAAATTTCAGGTCTTCTGTGTTCATGCATACTCTAAGGGTTTGATGAGATCAGGGTGCAATTTTTACATCTTAAGCATCATTATCTTCCATTACAGACAATGAAAAGCACATTTTAGAGAAGGGGCTATGCCTGCATTTTTGCAAAGGTAAACTCTGCCTAATCTCTGTGCACGCCTGTCCTCTGGACACCCTGCTGCCAGCGCACCCCGCCGGATCTGAGGTGATGCTCAGTGCCTCTGCAGGGGTTGAGGGCTGGTTTGAGGAGGTTTGTGCTCCCTTACTTTTCACAAATGATGGGCAAGATTTCCCAGTGCACTCCGTCTGCTTTTTACTGCTTCAGGGATTCAGAGTGGTCATAAAGTTTAATTGCTCAATTAAGCAGGCTTTACAGTTGCTCTGTGTTGCTGAAGTGCCACAAAGCAGATTAAGCAAACTAGTGAAGCTGGATCATAACTGTGTCGAAACCAAGACACACATATTTGTGTGTGTGTGTGAGACAAACATTCAATACATGGGGCTAAAGTATCCTAAATACAGAAGTGGGTATAGATTGTACAAGAAGGCACATATTTCAGTGTTGTGGAGCGAGTTACAAGCAAGAACCCTAAATCCCCTGTATCTCTTTACAGGATGGCAGTGGGAGCCTCCAGCGTGCAAATCAAGCTGGCACAGCCAGGGTTCTGTTGGGGCTGTAAGATGGACGGGAAAAAAACAGCTGGAGCTTCCTTCCACTCTCCCAGGGCAGCAGAAATAACCTACTGTGAACGAAGCACAGGAAAAGGAAAAAAAAAATGCACGTAAGCGTCTATGACAATTTGGTAACTGAGAAATCTAAACTCTCATGGGGAGTGGAAGTCAGTGAAGATGGCTGTAGGTGAGAGCTCAGACCAACTCTGCTTCTCACTGTTTGCTTGTCCTTTACCAGCTCCCTTTGGCAGCCCCACAGCTTTTGTCCCCACCCACCACTGGCGGATTCCTGTTTCTTTTCAAGTCTCTTGGTTGTGGGTGACGCCGGATGCACGTGCCTAAGGAGAGGACAACAAACACTTCAGGGTAGTGGAGGCCTCTAGAGACAATTTCACTACAAATAAATTTTTTGGTTATCTTAATGCCAGCAGGCATCTCAGTAAAAGTGGTTTCATGTTCAAGAAAGATGCCTGCTTACTTATTTTTTTTTATTAACAAAGCAGTTTGCTGACAATATAAACTATTGGCTAGAGCAGTGCTGCTCAAACTGCCAGCTATGGCTACTGAAGGAGCCATGGAACAGTTCAAAAGGGCTGTAGCTCAAAAGAGTTAATCAATCCACAATACTTTTATATTAAACTGTCAACAGTTCAAGCCAGTATTTCTTTTGGTAAGTGGGTGTTGTGCAGGGCTTGCAGGATTTTCAGAAACAGACAAAATAAAAAGTAAGCCATGCTTGGAAAACTAAAATAATATAAAATTGTGAAATGGACAACACCACCAACCCCCAGCTCAGATGCCATAGGATGGTGCCCGTTTGGTGAGGCACTGCCTGTGCTGGGGTCATGCTCAGCTCCTGACTCTTCCCACCTCAAGGAGCTACCCCAGTCCTCCTGCTCCCTGACAAAGTCACATTGAAAACCATTGCTTTTAGCATTCATGTTGAAGTTTGTAGCAGTATTTTTTCAAGCATTATTTTTGAGTCCATGACAGTAGTACAAATCAGCTGATTTCTAGTTGTTCTTTAGTACAGGTAAGTAGCGACAGATTTGAGTTAGTGCAAACACACTTCACTGTAGCCTTTCCCCTATATTTGAGGTGCAGGTCTTGCTCGGTGGTGAGGGAAAAGCCACAGAAGCATTAGCATTCACCCCCATGGCAGCTGGCATTAGTGCCAACCCAGGGTGCTCCCGCTCTCCATACCACAAGGACTATCACAGCTACACTGGGCTGCACACTAGCCAGCTTCCCCCTCCCCATCTCCTGCCACCCACACACATCAGCACTGAGTCTGTTCCAGGCTGCTTGTCACAACCCTCTGACAAAACAAAGAGAGGCAAAGGGAAAAAGGGTTCGGAGAGAATTAGCAAGGAGGGAAGAGATGGAAGGAATACATATGTGGAGTGGAATATGATTAAATAGATCACCGACTACAGTTTTCAGTTGTGTTTGAGGAAGCCTTCAGTAGAAAGCATTCTACAGGACTCCAAACAGATGACAGAAGCTGCAAAGGTCACTTTATGTGAACTGATTTCAAATCTAGATCAGATTAGAACAACTGAAGCTCTGATCACTAGATGGTTATGCAAGAGTCACATGTGAAATCATCAATTGCTCCTTATAGTATAGCTCGAGTGAAACCCTCTGCCCAGCCTTTCTTATGGAGAGTTAATGCAGGAACAGCTGAAAGAAAATGCATTTCAATATTAATTTTTCATTCTCAGAACATCCCATAAAGTAGTTGTTTCTTCTGGACATTTGGGAAAGAATAACTGCATACATTCTTTAGAGTAGTGTTATGCTGTTTGGACCACATCTACCTATTGAACAGTTGTCACATCATAACTCAGGGACATATGCCAACAAATTTGAAATCCAAACTCGCAGACATTAACAGGAATATGAAGAATTTAGATAAAATGTGCTTTTCAACCTCTAAGCAGGCAAGCCTGCATTGACATTGCTCTATATAAAGGAAGGTTTCTGTTGCTACGGTTTCCAAATGGCCTCATTGTGAGCAATCAATAAAGGCACTGAATTAAATTGTTAAATTAAAACTGCAGCTCCTGATGCTGAAGGCAAGGACTCTGTGCATGTTCAATCACAACTATAGGTTAGTTTGTTTAAGTCTTTATATTCGGAGGATTTGATCACTGCATAGAGCAAATTCATGTGTGCACAGCTTGAGATCACACAGAGATGGTCTCTTTTTCTTTTTGCACAAATGACGGTTTGCCTTTTAAGCTGTTGAAAGGCAAATATCTTGCAAGATCATGACATACAACTAACTGCAGAATATTTTGTTCAAAATCATAAATTGCTGTATCACATTTTAGTATTTTATTAAAGCAATATTAATATTATTTCTGTTACATACGAACTGTATGAATGACATTTCAAAAATTAATACAATACAGAAAATTTCAAGTTTTCTATGATTTTAGTGAAAAACATATAAACACCAAGTATAGTCAAACTGAACATCAACAGATCTGAAACTGAGTGCTGTCTATGGATAAAAAAGTATTTATATCAGCTTGATATAAAGAGGCAAAAACATAATTACCATTAAACATCATTTGGGACAACAGGAGCTTGTGAAAATTTATGGTTTTGGTTTACCTATTTAAAATGCTGCTGACCATGGAATGGAATTACATGGTAGAGATTACATGGGACCTTCTTTCAAAATATTTTAACTCTTAAAATAAACAACTAGCCACTGAGTCCAGAATGCATAATAAACAGACTTGAAGAGCTTTTAACCCCAATCTTAAAAAAAAAAAAAAAAGAAAAAAAAGGAAAAGTGCTTATATAAGAATAACTAAGAATAACAGTTCAGAGCATCTTTAAATCCAATGGAATACACTTTTTAAACCCTTAACACCCTGATGTATTTGTCCCAAGCACAACCCTGGCGTGTCTGTGAGATCCTTGATCTGTTTCCTTTCAAACCCCTCAAAATAATGGAATGGGTAGAACAGAAATGTTTACTCCCCTTGATACAGACAGCATGCTAGATGGAAAATAAATGTACCAAAGATTTCCAATTATAATGAACAAAAGTCATAATTACAAAAGGTAGAGGAACTTAAAAAAGCTTAACTTTCAGTTCGATCTAAACTATGAATCTATGTCATTCTGCAAACAGAACTCAGGTGCCTAAGTTACCTAAAGGCAGAGGTTTTGTATTCCTTTGAGATTTAGGCATCTACATCTCATATATATTTTAAACATTTTTGAAATCTGGCATTAATTTCCAATCTAACCACTGATTTTTGCGTGGTATAAAATCACCAATGCTTGTATTTCTGTACTTACCTTACTCCAAACTCCTTCATTTGACAAGACTTTGCAAGTCAGCATCAACTGAGTCTTTCATGTGTAAAACTAGAGGCACCAACCATAAAATCACAGAATCATCTGTGTCAGAAAGGACCTTTAAGATCATCAAGTCCAACTATAAACCCAATACTGCCAAACCCAACACTAAAACATTTCCTAAGTACCACATCTTCTAAACACCTCTTCTAAACACCTGCAGGTGACTCTGCCACTTCCCTGGGCAGTCTGTTCCAGTGCCCAGCCACCCTCTGGGTGAAAAACCTGCTTCTAATATCCAACCTAAACCTCTCCTGACACAAATTCAGGTAATTTCTTCAGGTACTGAAAGAACAATGGACTACTGGATGAGACTTTATCTGTATGAATGTTCCAGTCAATCATTACAGGACATATATATAATTATTTTACTTTGTGTGTGAAACCTTCTCTAGAAGAACAAAGTACCTTACAAAATGTGAACTTTGTCTTCATAAATAAAAGCATCTGGTTTGCTGTCTAACCATCTGGCTTGTCTAAAGTTTATAGTCTCCTGAGTGTTATTCACAGGCCCACATATGAGCAAGCCTCCACAGACATTTTTATTCGGTAAAAGCTTTCCCACAGCCCCTCATTTTTTCTATCTGTTTTTGATCTTGTAAAAAAATGTCACTTTAATACGTGTGTTGTAATAGTGCATGTGTTTGTGTTTCTGTGAACTGTGTAGATCTCCTAGTGTGTAGATATTATGGGCTAGATTCTCTTGGGAACAGTGGAGGAATGAACTACAGAAGAAGCAGGAGATACAAGACTCTACGACTTCTCTGCGGTCTCTGAACAAAGGACTAGGTGAGAATGGATAGATTACTTTAAAATGCATCAACTATTATCACATAACAAGGCACTGAGGATTGTTTCAGTTCAAGAGCTACAGCTGGTAATTGGCAACAACCACTTTGTCAATCCTACACCAGACAGGTACTCTGCTGTGTTTGACAATTCCATGATTCCTGACAGCACACAGCGTCCAGATAAACTAGCTGTGTTCGGCTCTGTGTGAATAAAATGCGCTATTATTTTCCCTTAATTCTACAAGCTGAACGGTCACTACGTTTCTGCCTGCTCTCTCTGTTTCATAAACACAAGATTTTCCATCCAGAGCCCTTAGAAAGACTTGCCAAAAGGGTTCATTCTCCTTTAGAGTTCAACTACTCCAGTTTCTGAAGAAAATGTCTCAGCTCTCTGGTAGGTCAGTAAGTACACAACAGTTCACGAGCTCTGATACTTCTGCCTAATCTGCTCTCTTACCACAGGCAATGGAAAATGTTTCACTTGAAACAACAAACATTCAAAATCAGAAATAGAAATTACCTCAGTAGATATTAATATAACTTCACAGAAGCCTATCTCTTTCTGCTCTAAACCATGAGTGATGTTTCAGCAAAGTAAATGTGTGCATATTTAAGGCTTTTTCTGTAGTCGATAACAATGATTGCACTTTTTTATCTACTAGAAGTCAGCAACTTTCTGCATGTATTAGATCAAATGTGTGATTTAAAGAGAAGTATAGACCGATGGATCATGGAGTGCAGAACTGTATTTGCAATGTGAACATAATTAAGCCAACTGGAGCAAAAAGCTTGTATTTTTAGGTGTGAAATAGGTGTCTATTTCTACAGTCATTCTTCCTCATATTTCTTTAATATAAGAAAGTAGAAAGGATCCAAATAGCCCTGCAGAAGTTAAGACGCAGGACTTCTCTTTCTGCAGAAGAGTTGAGAGGGCAGCTGGATCCCACTGGACCCTGCTGTGTTTAGTTTCTAAAAATGGGAACTAAACTGAGAAGCAGCCTCCAGGGGCAGCAAAATACAGCAGGAAGCTTGGAGATGCTGTTCTGTTCTAAAAAAAATAAATTGTTTCATGTACGTGATTCTATTTACTTCTTTGCTTATTAGTGTAGCTTGGGGGTACTGGGCTGTTGCCAGGTCAGCTTCTTGCAGCTTTGATTCCTGTTGACATACAAAAGTGTGAGTGTGTGAGCTCACGCACTCATACTTAAAAGCAGCTTCTGTGAATGCAGAGAAGAGTTTTAATTCTAATTTGCTGTCATAGATTTCACTAAAGCCTTTTATGCTGCAAGAGAGATCAGCCGTATATTCCAAGTCTAAATCCTAGATCATTCAATTTTAGTCTCTATCATATAGACAGATTCTAAAATGAGCCATAACTTTCCATCTGGAAAGTTAGTAGGTAAACTGTTTACACAAACTTCCAGCCACTGTAAATAGGATTCATGTTGCAAATTTAAGTTACAACTTTTTTCAGATTTCAGCAACCATTCAGGTAACAGAGTTGAAACAATGAGCCTTAATCTTTATCTGTATGTTCAGACAAGATGGGCTTTGTACTTCTGCTGTTTATTGTACTGAAAGACCTAGCCTATTCATTCAAAATGAAAGTTAAGACAATCATTAATTGTGTTTTTTCCCAAGCAGCAATGCTAAGCTTGGTCCTAAGTAAACTATTGTATTGCTAATTATTTACATGCATTGCATTTCAGTGTGAATAAGCCTATCACTATCAATTTCTACATTACAAATCATCTCATGTTCTCAATCTCAATGCAACATTAACATTTTTAACCTGCAAATGGGAGATAGTATTCACACCAATCAGGATAACCCACATCCTTATGTTCCAAAGCTTATGCTACAGAGCTTCATTTGAGAAGAATAATTAAACCAAAAATTTTGCTTTAGATTTTAAATATATTTTAGGAAAAAAGTATTGCTATGAAAATCTTTTGTGATCCATATTTGTTTTCAGAACATATTTCCAAGAGCTGGGAAGATTTGTTTTCTGGCATGCATCAAACATTTTTCCATTGGCCACAGCATTCTTGCACTAATTGAGTTTAGAAAACTCTTCAGCTGCTGCCTGGATGAATACAATCCGTGAAAAGCAAGCCTCAGAAATAATGGGATCCATTAGCTAATTACACTTTATCATCAAACATGCATCAGTTGCAAACTGTAATATGAGAACTATATTCTGCTATCCCAGACCTCTCAGATTATAAAATCTGCCATCAAAAAGGATGTCAGTATCTTCTTTCCTGAAATACTTAATACTTCCTAGTGAAGGAATCCACTAATTTTCAAAAGATACAAAACTGTACAAGAACAACACTGCCTTCTGAAGAGATGATTTTGCTCTCTGAAGTAAAAACTTCAGAGAATTTGCTTTGTTTACAATGCATGAAATCTGAACAAATCTGTTCCCTAGTTAAAATTATCCACTCTGCTAAAAAAAACCACACAAAATCCTACAAAGTACAATCAATTGCAAATTGGGACAATTTGGTAGAAGGCGTGGATCTTTTAAAATGTTATTATGGACTATGTAGAAGAATGTTTCTTTCTATTTCCCCTAAATGTTCCTTTACTTTCACAAGAATTTTATTTCCTATGACAATATATGTAGAAGTAACTGATTATATTTTGCCATAGCTCTTACCTTTCTATTAATGTTTTAAATGATACATGAGGAAGATAATCTCACTATTTCTCCCATTATTTTCCATTGAGAGCATTTACTCTCCTCTTTAAACAGGAGGAAATTTAGAGCCACATTACAGCTGGCCTTTTTAACATACCGACCTCGACTCTTTGTTGCCTTACACTCCTGGCAGCTACATAATTCCGTGCTAAATGGAAGCTCAAATGCTGTCCTCTTTGAATGTTTACCTTCTGAACTTAAATTCAAATGAAATTTGAATTTCATTTCAAACAGAACAAGATCTGAGTGGAGAACTAACATCATGATTTCACATGGAATTCCAGTCACTTGCTGTTTTAAATTCCAAACTACATAAAATCCCAGAAAAAACAAACCCCACACAAGCATATGAGTCACTAAAATCTTCAATATATTCGACTCCTGTGTTGCCAAATAAATTGTGAGCATTCAAGTAACAAAGACATTTAAATTTAAAATTCACGGGTTGCACTGCATCAGCCTGACAGTGATGGTGGGCAGTGGACTGACACACAGGTTCTGTCCTGCAGGTTTTGGACTGCAGTGTGGCACTATGCTCCACACTGGCAAATTTCCAAGGAAAGATTCATTGCTGCTCTCCTCAGCCCAACTCATTGGCTCTGCTCATCTCACCTCTGTCCACCTCTGCCATTCCCTTCCAGCCCTCCTCCCGGTGGAGCCATGTTATATACACAAGGTTTGTGCTCCTGTCACAAAGTGAATAAACAACTGGAGTGGCTGTCAGACACATTCCTTACAGTGCTACATCCTGCTGCCATACCCTCACTGTTTCCAGAAGACTCTGGGAGATGAGCAGGTCACAGCAGCACCTTGCATCACAGCCTGCAATGGGGCCAAAGCAGCTGAGGAGGTCAGCAAGTGAGACTCTCAATCCCTTAAAGCCTCACTAAATGCCCACATAAGATTCAGTAGTTGTAAGAATCTTGTTGCTACAAAGATAGACAACACATCATCTGTGCAGAATTAGTAGAACAACTGTGAAATAAAGTACTTACATTTCAGTAAAATCCAAATAGTTTTCCTTCTAATAGGAAATAATAAAACGACCTATATGAGTACAATGAGTACAAACCTTCCAGCTTTTTATGAAATGCTCTTTTTGCTAAGAGTGGTTTACCAGCAAACATGCCTTAATTTCTCTGGGTCTGATTATTCACTATAGGAGTCCTCACATTGGTACAAAATCAGGTTAAAAAAAAAAAAAAAGAAGGCCACCAAACAAATGCCTTACATTCCACAGGTGCAATTATTTCACAAATAAAAATGAAGTGAACACAAGAGTTTGTAGGTGGTGCTTGCAGATACTTACCATGTATTCCTTTTGAAATCTGAGATATATTACCATTTTAAAGTACTCTGTGCTCAGTAAAACTAAATAGGGATATTGTTAGTGCTGGTACTTTTCGTACAAGTACAGTGTCTTACCTGAGGGGTTTCTTTTTTTTTTTCTCCTTGTTTTGTGCTATTCATGTTCCAATTAACTCTTACAATGTTACACAGCCTACAACCTCTTAGCTCTTATTCCTGTTTTTATGCTAGAAAGCAAAGGGAGCAAGCAGCACCAAGCCTTTAACCTTATCTTCCAGGCAAACTCATCACTATATGTTGGTTAGTCTTCTTTTGCTAACAGAAGTCAGAAAGATACGTGTATGTAGGCATATCCCTGGCTTTCACACAGCCTAGGATGATTGCTTCCAGTTGCAGGAAGATCATGCAGCCGATGAACTCAAATGAGGATGAATTTTAAAGAACCTAAGAAAGTATGCTCCCAAAATGTAGTTTTAGAGATGTTAAAAATACCTGTTTAATGGTATACTTCATATTAAAACACAGGTCTTCAGTAGCAGACCTTAGATAATGTCCACACAGGAAATAGATTTAGTTTCTTTCTTTTTCTTTGAAAGTTCCCTGGACACCCAACAAAACTGAATTACTAATGGAGCACCTTTGGGTTGATCAGAAGTATTGGCTGAACCTTTTTGTCTATCTGGGTTAATCA